AAACAAACCCAGAAGAAAAATCAAAATCCTGGTGTTCTTTTCTTCACAAACCAGCCCTTGGAAACTAAGACTTAGAGCTGCCTCACGTCGGGTGATAGTGACATAAGGCCATCTTCCTTTGGAATCGTTATGGAAAAAAATGGAGCGTCAGAGAAGACCCTCAACACAATGGAATAACACAGTGTCTGTGCACCAAGACACATCAGAGAGCATGACGATGGTATATGAGTAAGCAAGGTTCAGACTTTACAACCATCACTGTGATCCACTGTTGGCTTGATGAGGCCTAATAAAAACAACCCAGAGAGACATTGTCTATACTTTTTATTGATCGGAGAACAATGCTTAACACACTACAAGCGGGTAATTTTTGAGACACGGTCTTCCCTAGCATTGAAGGTCCATGGTGTCTACCGTCCGGAGACATTTCCATATGCCTCTCTCAAGATGTCCCCACCCTTAGTCATTCTCAAATAAGGGATCTGTTACCCTTTTTCTTGTGTTAGGGATACGGAAAACAGCCCATAGCAGACACTCCAGGTTCATACTGACCATCTTCTTCTCCCTTCAAGAGTTGCTAGTGGATTTAACCCACATGCCTTTAGCATGACAGCACAGCTTCTTACCACGAGGCTACCACAGCTCACTCCCTCCTGCCAACAGATGCCATAAATCCACCCCTTATCATCCGGAAGAAGAATGAAGAAGGCATGCCTCCATTCCCCAGTTTGAATCATTCCATCAAGACATCAGCAAGTACATCAAAGGAGACTTGGTCATCACGCATTTGGAGGTAGCTGAGAACCTCTAACTGCTCGAGAAATAGAAACATTTCAGTTAAAAACACTAGAGGGTCCTCAACGTCACCGCCACAGTCGTGAGGCAAGGGAAGCACCAGGTGCCTGGACTTGCCGGATGGGAGTATCTGACGTAACATTCTCTTCAAGGTAGCCTTACACATGAGGTTTCCAGAGAATCTAAACAGTTGGAGCTTAGAGCAGTTGCTCAGGGCGGGTATGATGGTGCTAAGGTGGAAATTCAAGAGCCCACAGTCAGTCAAGTCCAGAGACTCGAGGCTGGCCGAGGTCCAGTCTATGGCAGCTCGGAGGAAATTGGCATTTATATGTTCCATGTTTGTTTTGGAGAGAGTCAGCGCCCGGAGCCTGCTGGTGCAGGTATACAAGGACAAGGATTCCACGTCCGAGTTCTCTAACGAGCAGGGAATGGAGGAAATGGTCAGGGACTTCAAGGGGCACTCGAGGTGCCGGAGAAACTCGCGGACGTTGCCACAGAGGTAGACATTACTCAGGCGGAGATGCTGGAGTTGGCGTAGGTGGGTGAGCTGGGAGGTCAATTCCGTGAAGATGCCGTCCAGCTCTTCGTCTGTGTTCCACCTGGCCAGGAGACGTCGTTGCCTAGAGGACCCCTGCTTCACGACAAGAGACTGGAGCTGCAGTGTACGCAGATGCACCATCCGGGGCAGGTAAGGAGCCAACATGGACAGGAGGCGTCTGTCTTCCGTGTGGTAGATTCTCAACTCCTCGACACGATCCAGCCGCACACTTCCGAGGATCTTCTCAATGACTGGAAACTTGGGTAGATCATCCGAAAAGGTCACCTTCTGACAGCAAAGCAGAGGCAGTACTTTTCCCTCCTGCACCCTGCGCCTGAGGAAGGTGAGCAGTTCGTTTGACTGTGTCATCTTGAAGCTCAGATCTCCCACGAGCTCCAACTCTACCACTGGGTGCCTCGGAGGTGACTTGGAACAGTCCTCGCTCTTCCTCTCTCTGGGCGTTTGCCTTGCTTTCTGTAGATCGAGTGAGCCCCTGGGCTCTGTTGTCAACTTCTTATGTAGCCAGCTGTCTAGAGCTGTGGGCAACAACACTCTCAGTGGGCCTGAGGCGCGGGGAGGCCCAAGGTCTTGCAGGACACTGAGCCCCTTGAGAACACTCGACAACATGGTCAGAGGACCATTCTGCTTCTCCTCCTTCAGAATTGCCAGGTCCAGGCATGCCAAGGGGCAGGCGGCTACCATGGCTGCCACGATCGCCGTACATCCATTCGACACGGCTTTATGGAAGACGTCTTTCCAGAAGTGGAAAGGTATCGGCAGCTGAGCCACCGTGACCCAAGACTCATCTTTGAAAAGGCTCTCCATGGCCAGGTCGAAGAGGCTGTGTAGATGGAAGGTGTTCATGTTCACGTCGGCGGGCCAGTGTGGGTTCATTTTCCTAAGAAGGACAGAAGAGGAAAGGGAGTCCAATTAGAGGTGGTGGTCATTCTCCCTAAGCTCAGAACAGCTCCTTCGTCCCCAGGACCATTGTACTGTGCGTTTGAGTCAAAAGCTCTCTTTAGCTGACTTTCCAGTGACTTCTCAACAGCAACAACTAATATGAGTGTCCAACCTTTCTGTAGAGAAACTGGTATATGTGAACTACGAGCCTTTAGTGTGGAGGCCATTATTTTGCCACTAACCCACCAGGGTTCTCAGACCCCTTCTTAACAACCTTGCCCCATATTTCCTGTCACTTTGCTCGACACTATTGTGGTCCCTGCCCAAGGCAGTTCACCCTCTAATTCTTCCCAGTGTGCAGTCTTTTCCCACCTAGCAAGAGGTAGGCTGAGGATGCTTTTTGGGTGTGAGGCAAAAAGGGTGCAACTCTGAATTCCTTTGGGCATGCTGTCTTTGGAAATGACATCGTGGTGGGAAAAGAGGTCAGAAAAAAAGAGGAAGACCCTTAACAAGATGGATTGACACAGCTATTGCAATCACATGCTCAGGTGTGTCAAGGACGGGTCAGGAACTTCCGGTGGGAGGACCCTAGACTTCCACCTTCTGTTCAAATTTCTGCTCAGAGCAAAGACACCTGTTGTTTCAAGGATTGCTGTGTCACAGTCAACTTGATGGTTCCAAACAAAGAGTTCTGAATATTTAATAGATTGCCCCCAAATATAAACATATACTTGGGTGGGGAGGGAGAAAAGTGCAATAATGAATGACTGGAAACCCTGAGGCTCTGTAAAATTTCATTTTTTTTTTTGCAAAGTTTCATTTAAATTAATTTTAAAAAACAGGACAAATACTGCATGGTGCCACTGTTGTAGAATGGGACTGATATTAAGGCTGGGGTAAGACTGAGAAAAACTGGATAAATTATGTATACTGCATTGAAACAGATGAGGGAGAGAATAACTTAAAAGCGATATATGATAAGGTATTAGAGTTATCACAACAGTCCGGAATTAAGGTTGCATAGTGGAGTGTAGTTGGAGTGATGGGAGGGGTGCGGGGGGATTGTATACCAAAGAAAGAATTTTTCTTTTACTTTTCAAAGAGAGGAGC